CCGCCGGCAGCGCCCAGCGGGGAAGCCTGGCAGGGAAGAAGGAGGGTGTGGAAACGCGCTTGCCGGCGGCGGAGCTGGGGTGAAGAGAACAAGTCTGGGGCAGTAAGCCCAGCCCACCCCCTCCCTCACCAGGACCGGCCCGGGTTTGCCTGCCCCTGGAGGGGCGAGTGCAGCTCTGGGAGAAGGCTGTGCTCCCTGGGGACCCCCGGCCCACGCCCCTTTGCCCACTGGGCGCCGCCTGCTCGCCTTTGCTCACCTCCCACATGATGAGCCTCCCGGATTTCGTGACGCCGGCCTTCTGGGTTCTCCCGGCAGACACCTGCACCACTTCTGTGTTGAGCATGGGCAGGCGGAAAGGGGCGGTGATCCCGCTGCCCCAGGTGTAGATGGAGGAGAGGGGAGGCGGGATTCCAGTCCTGGCTGAGCCCACTGGAACCCCTAGGGGTAAATGAAATACCAGTGCCCAGCTGGCTGCTCTCCTGGGCAGGAACATGACGCCAGCCTTGCCATGCAGACGCCCACCGCAGTGGAGGACAACAGAGGGGCTAACCCAGCTGGCAGAACAGGCCTGCGGCCCCCGGGGGCTGCAGCGTAGGCTGCTCCCAGCTCTGCTTCCTCAGGCAGGGACCCTCAGTTCCCAGACTGCCCAGCGGGGCTGGAGTACAGCGGCACTAAGGCTCCGGACGACGAGGGCAGGAGAGCTTGGGGAGGGCAGATCTGGAAGCTGCCCGGGGCTGGAGCATGGCTTCTCCGGGGCAGGGGGTCCGGGAGCAAAGGGCCCGAGTGGTACAGGGCACCCCTGGCAGTCGGTACAAAGGCTCCTCCTCCGCCGTGCAGTTCTGCTGAACGTGCCGTGCCCGGCCTTACCCCTGGGTCTGGCGCTGGCCACCCTTCCGCCCGCTCTGCTGTGGCTCACGGCTGGCACCGCCGCTAAGGGCTTCTCAGGCCTGTCAAAGCAAAAAGCACCGCACCTTACTGAGAGCTGGCAGCCCGGCCAGCCCGCACCCCTCTCGCAGGACAGGGATGGGCTCTCAGTGGGGAAGAGCCAAAGGCAGCAGGCGGGGGGGAGCAGGAGACACAGGTCACTTTGGGCTGGCTGGCCCAGTGACCGCACCAAGCAATTTGTGTCCGCTTGAGCGTCCTGTGCCCGGCGACAGTCCCTCGGCCACCCACCATCCCCTGTGCCCGGTGATCAGCCTGTCTGCCCGGTGACAGCCCCTCGGACACCCACCATCCCGTGCCCGGCGATCAGCCTGTCTGCCTGGCGACAGCCCCTCGGCCACCCCCCATCCCCTGTGCCCGGCGATCAGCCTGTCTGCCTGGCGACAGCCCCTCGGCCACCCCCCATCCCCTGTGCCCGGCGATCAGCCTGTCTGCCTGGCGACAGCCCCTCGGCCACCCCCCATCCCCTGTGCCCGGCGATCAGCCTGTCTGCCTGGCGACAGCCCCTCGGCCACCCCCCATCCCCTGTGCCCGGCGATCAGCCTGTCTGCCTGGCGACAGCCCCTCGGCCACCCCCCATCCCCTGTGCCCGGCGATCAGCCTGTCTGCCTGGCGACAGCCCCTCGGCCACCCCCCATCCCCTGTGCCCGGCGATCAGCCTGTCTGCCTGGCGACAGCCCCTCGGCCACCCCCCATCCCCTGTGCCCGGCGATCAGCCTGTCTGCCTGGCGACAGCCCCTCGGCCACCCCCCATCCCCTGTGCCCGGCGATCAGCCTGTCTGCCTGGCGACAGCCCCTCGGCCACCCCCCATCCCCTGTGCCCGGCGATCAGCCTGTCTGCCTGGCGACAGCCCCTCGGCCACCCCCCATCCCCTGTGCCCGGCGATCAGCCTGTCTGCCTGGCGACAGCCCCTCGGCCACCCCCCATCCCCTGTGCCCGGCGATCAGCCTGTCTGCCTGGCGACAGCCCCTCGGCCACCCCCCATCCCCTGTGCCCGGCGATCAGCCTGTCTGCCTGGCGACAGCCCCTCGGCCACCCCCCATCCCCTGTGCCCGGCGATCAGCCTGTCTGCCTGGCGACAGCCCCTCGGCCACCCCCCATCCCCTGTGCCCGGCGATCAGCCTGTCTGCCTGGCGACAGCCCCTCGGCCACCCCCCATCCCCTGTGCCCGGCGATCAGCCTGTCTGCCTGGCGACAGCCCCTCGGCCACCCCCCATCCCCTGTGCCCGGCGATCAGCCTGTCTGCCTGGCGACAGCCCCTCGGCCACCCCCCATCCCCTGTGCCCGGCGATCAGCCTGTCTGCCTGGCGACAGCCCCTCGGCCACCCCCCATCCCCTGTGCCCGGCGATCAGCCTGTCTGCCTGGCGACAGCCCCTCGGCCACCCCCCATCCCCTGTGCCCGGCGATCAGCCTGTCTGCCTGGCGACAGCCCCTCGGCCACCCCCCATCCCCTGTGCCCGGCGATCAGCCTGTCTGCCTGGCGACAGCCCCTCGGCCACCCCCCATCCCCTGTGCCCGGCGATCAGCCTGTCTGCCTGGCGACAGCCCCTCGGCCACCCCCCATCCCCTGTGCCCGGCGATCAGCCTGTCTGCCTGGCGACAGCCCCTCGGCCACCCCCCATCCCCTGTGCCCGGCGATCAGCCTGTCTGCCCGGCGACAGCCCCTCAGCCACCCACCATTCCGAGCCCCCGTGCTGCAGCCCCCCATCTCCATCACCCCCCACTACTAGGCCCCAGAGCCGGGATTGCAGCAGCAGCACTTGCTTTCTCATTTTGACGCTGCCCACGTCAGTATAAAGGTTGAGAAGCGGCCGAATGCAGATGGCCTGGGCCATGATCTCATTCAGCTGAGGCCGTTTGGAAGGGTCCAGGTTGAGCATGCTCAGGATAAGCTGGCGCAGGTCTGGGCTGTATCGGTCCGAGATGGGAGCAAACGTCCCGCTCATGATCTTCAGCACCAAGGCGGGCAGGTTCTGGAGCACAGAAGGAACAGACACGTGGTCAGCAGAAGCCTGGCTGCTGGACGGGCAGTGCATCAGGCCAGGGCACGGCTTGAGGGGGGGCTGCGTGGGCACGCAGGAGACAGCCCAAGGCGGGCGTGTGTCTGGCATTCCCGCCCCGCTTTCAGAAAACCCGGGGCCCAGCCTTACTGCAGCTTCAAAGGCTCTCTTGAGACTGGCAAGTTCGTAGAGCACGCAGCCCAGTGCCCAGATGTCACTCTTCTGGTTGTAGGGTTTCCCTTCACACAGCTCTGGGGAGATGTAGCACGGCGTCCCCACAACCTAAGGGAACAGGTATAGCTGCACAATGGCACTCCAGAACCATGGGGGTACAGGCAGGCACAGTCTCACTGCATCACAATGGAGCCAGCGCTCGTGTCAGAGGGGTGGTAGCGGTGTTAGTCCGTACCTGCCAAACCCACCAGGAGCCTGGGCACCTTACAGCCTGACTTTCATTGGGGCACCAGGTTTCGGGACTCCAAAGCAGCTGAGGAAGTGGGTTTACTCCCCAAGCTGATGCCCAAATAAATCGTTAGTCTTGAAGGTGCCACAGGATCCTCGCTGCTTTTCCAGGGGTTATGGGGAGCTGAAGGAGCCCTGGTCTCCCTGCTGCTGATTACCAGTGATAAAGCTGCTAGAGGATTTACCGCTTCCAGCACTGCTAGAGCATGGCTCTCTCCCATGCAGCACTTAGCTCCAATGGGGCTTCTGAGGGCTCAGAGCCCTGGGCAAAGCCAAGCCGGTCAGGTTAGAGGGGGAGAGATACTGGGGTACCAGGCAGAGGAAAGGGAATCCAGCCAACCAACAGGATTTAGGAAGTCGGTCCCAAAGCGCGGGTCATACCGGCCCTGTCCCAGGAGAGGCGCACAGGGGCTGACCTCTCAACCACCATCTCTGGTTGGCTAGGAGACTCCATCAAGGGCTGGGGGACAGTGACCTGCCTTGGTTCTCCAAGACTTTAGCACATCCCACCTGACTACAGCAATGCAATGGGCCCAAAGCCAACAGGCCTCAGGAAACTCCTGCTAGTACAGGATGCCACAGCGAGTCTCCTCAGCACCTCAGGCCAGCAGGAGCACAGCAGCCCTGTCCACTGCCCTCTCGGCTGCCTTCCTGAGACTAAGAGTCAAGTATGAGGACGCAGGGTGATCTTCAAGGTGCTCAGTGCTTGGAGCTCCAAGATGAGACTGTCCACAGCTCCACCTCTGGCACAGTGGGACTTCTACCCCAAGGGAAAACTGGTCTGTGCAGGAGAAAGAGCCTCCTCAAAGCCAGTACCAGACTGTGGAACAAACTTCCCCGGGAACTGAAGATCCCCCAAGATCCCCCATCACCTCTCCCCTCCAGCCAGCTTCTCCAGCACACACGCACACACACACACCCCAGCAGGGATACTGTTCAATGAAAACCCCACACACAGCTACAGAGCCCTACGAAAATGAACCAATCTCCGGCCCATATAATGCTCCCCTAGGGAAGGAGGGAGAGGAAAACCAAGCACGCACGGCAGTGGTTTGAATGCACTACTGGAAGGCATGGAGACACTGGGAATGAGAGAGACACAGGGACTGACACCGACTCATTTTCATGGCTGCCGCAAGCTAGGATATCAGGGAGATTAAGGGTGTCTCTACACGGCACACGAAGGTCTGTTCTTCCCTTGCGTGACAGGAGCAGCGAAGACACACACCACAGCAGCTTTTAGCTCAGGTTAACAGAAAACAAAAGGGCATCTGGGACGGAACGCCAGCCACCAACCCGTGTTAAACCCTGAGTTGCTGTGTCTTCACTGCTCCTTTCCCATCAGCCAGCATGCCTGAGTGAACAGAGAGGAAAGAGGAGCAGTGATACTGACTTGTTAACCCAGTCACTGCTGCAACCTGATCCCAGGCGAATTCTCATGATACAGAGGCACAGAAACAGTAGCTTTGAGGGGAAGAAATTCCCCGGGAGCTTGGGCACGCTCAGTGGATACACACCGTGTAGGCTTTGCTCTTGCTGCTCAAGATTTTGGAGATGCCAAAGTCTCCGATCTTGACAATCATGCGGTGTTTGTCCAACAGAATGTTCTGAGTCTTTAAGTCTCGGTGCAGGATCTGTTTGGTGTGAACGTGATGAAGGGCCAGCAGGATCTGCACAAAAAAGTGCAGGATGGTGTCTTCGTCCAACAGGGAGTTGCAACGTTTATGAATAAACTCTGCCAAGGTGCCACCTGGATGGACGCAGAAGGGCCATCAGCAAAGGAAGTTTATCTACGCTGGCGTGCTCTCAACTAAAAGTAATGGCCTCCAGCCACAGTATCTCAACTCCACAATCACTGCTGAGCGAGCCAGGTCTGCCCAAAGCAGCACAATGCACCATGGGACATACCACAAATTCTCTGACTACAGAGAGAACAATAGCAGCACAGCAGATGGGATGCAGGACCAGCAGTGGAGGGGTTAACCTTAACACACTATCAATGGCAGCGCTGCCTGCAGGGCTCAGTCAGAAAAGAAATGCTAAAACCATACATATCAGAGCAGGGTGAGGAAGCAAATGTCAATGGAGAACAAGATAAGCCTGTTCTGCATAGGGAAATTCCCCTGCGAAAGTATTCATGCGGTTAAGAGAGGCCCTATCACTCAGTGCAAGCCCAGAATCCAGGGTTCGTGCAAAGCGGGTTTACAAACCCCAAGGTAAATGTGGCTTCTCTTTACTTTAAGTGACAAGGCAAATGGTGTGTTTGTTTGAACTGCCACCCCCAGCGCTGCAGCCCCACAGGGAAACTGAGAACACTCAGAAGGGGAACTGAGGAAACCAAGCGAGGAGCAGAAGCCAGGGAGCATACAGATCAGCAGTGAGGCAGAGTTTTAGAACCCTTTCCGCTGGGGTCCGGGCTGGCAATGCTAATAACACACATGTATTTCATCCTTTTCAAACCATAGGATGTCCAGTTCGGCCAGAGCCTGCTCAAGTTACTCTGGAGCCACTCCCACCACAGCACCTCCATGGGGTATGTTTCAAGATAAGGCAATAGGAGGTAACAATGGACAGGAGTGAGCATCTCTTCTGAGGGAAACAGTCTTGCCAAGGAAGTCAGGCCCATGTCATGTACCAGGGACACAGGTAGATTCTCCTCACCCTCACAGTAGGGATGTAAAAGGTTAACTGGTTAATCTCACCCTTAATGGTTCCGGGTAACCGGTAGGGCTGGAGCAACTCCCTGCCTGTCCCAGGCAGAAGGCTATTCCAGTCCCATGGGGCCCACAGGAGCAGCCCGTCAATGGTGGGGCCCGGCGACCCGGGAGGTAGCTTCGCTGCAGGCTTGGCAGGATACAGCTTATTTAATCTTTACACTGCAGAGCCCGCAGTGCGTGTACCTGCTAGGGTTGTTAGCGGTTGTCCAGTTCCCTTTTAACCACATTTCTACATCCCCACCTCACGAACATTCAGCTTTTATGGATGCCTTGAAAATTAGCCTAAGGAGGCTCATTCCCCCAGATCCAGCTACAGCTTCTTGGCCAGAGGGCAAATACTATGAGTCCAAGAAGGCTTAGCTCTATGCCTAGCCCAAGCCCGGTGTCCCACCTGGTGCATACTCCATGGCAATCATAAGAGCCTTGTCTTCCAGGAAGTTCTCGTAATACTCAATGATGTTGGGGTGATTCAGCAGCTTCAGCACCTGGCACTCATTCTGAGCTGCCAGCCTCTCATCCTTCGTCATCTGCTCCACAGGAATCTGTTTAATGATCACTAGTTTCTGGTCGGCCTTGCGCAGACACAGGTGCACTATGCTGCAACAACACAGGGCGTTAGGGGCCCGCAAAGGGGACAATGTGCGGGGGAAGCCGAAACCAGCAGCAGATGTGAGCCCAATGCACACAGGCAAATCTCAAGAGACATGGGCAAGACAGGCACCATTTCAGGCAGCCTAGTGCCCGCTTCCACGCCCCCCACAACCTAGAAGAGGAAGTAGGTGCAGTGTTCAGAACACAGGACCTTGGCACAGCGCACCCAGCCGTGCTTCCCGTCCCGCAGCAGTCCGATGGGCAGAAGGGTGATGCCCACTCCCGGGAGGCGGTGACACTGAGGTAGCCATGCAGAGTGTTCTGGGGAGGCTAAAC